GTCCTGTTCTGCTTCAGAGAGGAGGCTATTTTAGGCCTACACTTGCAATGATAAGCAAAATGCTTCCAAAAGAAACCCAAAACAAGCTGCTATGTAAGTAAATTAACTAACTGCCAGAAGCAAACTTAACACTCACAAAATTCAGACACTCAATAATATATTATGCATAATGTCCAACACAGATTGAAAAAAAAAAAGTAGGCAGACATAAAAGCCAAAAAAAAAAAAAAAGACCCACAATGAGAAAAAGTTTGCTAATAAAAACAGAGTTGACAATGATGATGAAATTAGAAGATAAATGCTTTGAAATGCATGCTGTGTAACAGCAGAGGCCTAGCCCAGAGAGTGAGTGCTTGCAGCGCCCCCGTCCTCCTGCAATGCTACACCCGGGATCGCACTGGCTTGCCTGTCCACCACCACCAACAGGAAGCAGCCTTTGACGATGCAGTAGAAGAACATGCAATCAACACAATATACAAAAAGTGGTAAAGAACACCCCTTTTCTTTATGATTTGGTGATGACCAATACTCTGGAGTGGCCCAGCCTAACTGCACAGTGGCTTCCAGCTATAACCAGGCTGGAAGGAAAAGACTTAGCATTCACTGACTTGTCCTGGGGACACACACATCAGATGAACATAATAACCTTGTGATAGCCAGTGTGTAGCTCCCTAACAAGGATGCTCAATTTGACGCTTTGCATTACAAAAGTGAGAGAGGAGAATTTAGAGGTTTGGGCTCTGTTAGTGGAACAAATTGAAATAGAAATCAAGGTCAACCATGAAGGAGAAATAAAAGGGAATGCTGTATGCCTGGAACACTTGCATCATTACAACATCTCATCCAGGGATGTTCTTGTTTTTGACTATAGAAAACAGCTCTCTAAACCAGATCCTTCTGGAGAGTGCAATCCAGATTTGGGTCTCTGTGGACACCAGAAGGAAGGTTATGGGTTTTCCTGAAACCCAAATCTCAGTGGGTACTTAGTGCTTCAGGTGACCACACCATCTGCCTACAGGATCTCAGTGTTGTTCCAAAAGATGGAAAAATTGTGGCTGCTAAGGCCATATTCACAGGACATACAGCAGTAGTAGAAAATTCATCCTTGGCATCTGCACCATGAGTCGATGTGTCGGTCAGTTGCTGGTGACCAGAAACTTATAATCTGGGATACTCATGCAAATGAAACTTTCAAACCAAGCCACTTAGTCGATGCTCACACTGCTGAAGTGATCTGCCTTTCTTTGCCACAGAGACAGCTGATAAGACTGTTGCCCTGTGGGATCTGAAAAATCTGAAACTTAAGTTGCATTCTTTTGAATCACATAAGGATGACATATTCCAGGTTCAGTGGTCGCCTCCCAATGAAACTATTTTGGCTTTCAGTGGTACTAATCTCAGACTGAGGGTATGGGATTTAAGTAAAACTGGAGAGGAACAATCTCTGGAAGATGCAGAAAATGGGCCACTGCAGTTGCTTCTTCATGGTGGTCACACTGCTGAGATACCTGATTTCTTCTGGAGTCCCAATGAACTTCGGATGCTCTGCTCCGTGTCAGAAGACAATTTCATGCAAGTGTGGCAGGTGGTAGAGAACATTGATAATGATGAAGAGACTGAAGGAAGCATGGATACGGAAGGACAGGGGTTTTAGACACGTCTGCACTTCCTGAGACTCCTCTTTTTTCCTGTCTCAGCCCTGATTTTGACTTAACACTGGTTTTGAGACATAGATTTTGTTCATTTTTTCCCTCTATAATAAGTTCCATCAAGAGTGGCATTACCCTAAACAGAGGGCATTTGCTAAATATTAACTGGAGGGCTTGTCAGCAAAGGCACAGACTTATATTTAAATTTTCTTCAGCAATTTTTTAGTAACAATCTAAAGTAGCCACTGAAAAAGGGAATGTTATGTGTAGTTATTTTATTTTTTCTTCTTATGCTATATCCCCAAGTTATTCAGACTCACTTAACTAAAGGCCAGCAGTAAGTAAGGAATAGAACCAAGTGAAGCCGGTGTCTGAGCCACTTTCCCCATATATTCTTGCTTGTTAATGTATTTATTGAGCTGTTTTCATATTATTTCTTTTCTTTCTGTAATTTTTTTCTTAAAACTTGGAGCTACCAAATATGTTTTCACCTGACAGGTAGGCTGTCCGTTGAGAAGACTGAATTGTTATAAGTTGCTTTTTCTTTCCAAGAGTTAGTCCTTGATGACTAGTTTGGTGCTCTCTCTGTTTTGGGTGAACTGTTTCACCAGCCAGCCTGTTATTCTCCATGATTAGCAGTATAAGTGCTTATACTGGAATAAATTGCTTTTCCACATAAAAAATAAAAAAAATACAATGAGTATTATAAATATGCTTGTTTATGTTTTTTAAAAGAGACCATGAGTATTATAAGAGCAAATAGGAAATATCAATATTGATATTTTGATAAAGAAATGGAAATTTAAAAGTTGAAAAATAAAATGTTCAAATTAAAAATGCTGCAGATTGGACATAAACAAAGAAATAAACAGTGAACACTAGACACCACCCTAAATGAAACACAGAGGGGGGGAAAAAGATGAAATAAAAATAATGAGAACCTCAGTGAACTGTGGTACAACATCAAGCACTCTACCCTAAATTTAATTGGAATACTAGAAGGAAAGGGAAGAATAAATGAATAAAAGAATGAGCAAAACATATTTGAAAAAATGATGCCTAATTTTTGTTACAAATTAAATTAAAAAATAAACTGACCAAACTAAGAAGTTTAAAAAACCTTAAATAAGACATATACAAAAAAAAAAAAAAACCCCCTCAAAAGATACCATTATGTAATTTTGAAAATCAATGACAATAGAAAATCTGTTCAGATTCCTGATGCCATTCATGCTAAACAATCCAGAGCAAGTCCTTCTATGAGAGGGGAGCTACTCAACTTGCTCTGGTGGATAGACTTCTGCATTACTCCTAGATTCAATATTAGTTTAATTGATTGCATTGGTATTTTCCACCTGATGTTGTTATTAATTTATGTTAGCCTCCATAATTGTTTCCCAAAACATGTGCTTCTGAAGACAAGTCCCACAAAATGTTCCATACTAAGGAAATTTGGAGTCCAATATACTTGAAAAACTCCTGCCTACTGTATTCCAACCCCCTGCAGATATTCATACCAAATATTAATATGCTAAAGATGCTAAGGGCCCCTGAACTAAAGTAATGTGACTGATTTTATTTAACCTAGACTTTAATGATGCTTACTTGACTATACAAGCCTTTGTCAAATAACACCTATGAAAATCTTGTGGAAATAATAAGGGCTAAGATTTATTATGCATTTAATATATATGTATATATGCCAATAACTGTGCTGAGTATTTTAAAACAATCTTATTAGGGAGTGATATTATTTTGCCTACTTTAAATATTTTTATTGATTTTAGAGAGAGGAAGGGAGAGAGAGAGAGAAACATTGATTGGTTGCCTCCTATATGTGCTCTGACCAGGGATTGAACCTACAATCTCTTGGTGTATGGGACAATGCTTCAATCAACTGAGCCGCACTGGCCAGGGCTGTTTTTCCTACTTTAAATATAAAGAAATTGAAGCTCGGAGAGACAAAGTGTCTCTTCCAAGAGTTGGAACGCATAAAAACAAAGATTTGAACATAGTCACCTGAATGTAGTCTTAGCAGTGTTCTTAGGAATAAACTTTGGGAAATGCTGTCTTATAACATGTAGTTGAGTATTTTCTCTTTACATTGACTTCTGAAGGAACAGAGGCAATTAACTATCCAGAAACAATCTAATAAGGCTTCCTAATAGGCACATACACTTTCGGCCTTTGCTCTTTACTTCCTAAATTGTAATAAAAATGTTAAGGCAAAAATGTTTTTTCATCAGCTTTTAAAGAGGTTTAAATCCCTTTGAAAAATGTAGCAGTTATGAATTAGCTTTAAAAAAACTTTTGATATAAATATCGTAGGCACTATCTTACATCCAGATCCAAAATAATTCTGAATGGCTTGACTTCATGCATGATAAATCATCATTATCTTTCTCCAGGTTACTGGAAAACATTCTTGAAGGAATTAATTATCTGATATTCTGAGAGGACCAAAAATAATTTTAGACATGATCTGTTTCAGGAACAACAGCTCACACAAGAAAGCCACATACTTTTCATTTATTTTATAAAAGTATAGCAATATCAACACAGAAATTATTTTACATCATTTTAAATCACAGTTCAAATAATTTTTGTTTTAGCAACTGTGGCTAATGGTATATTATAAACTTGCTTAAATGTTGATACGTAGTGTTTAAAGTGATCTTTTTATTTTTATTTTTTTAAACTCTAGTCACCATGCTGCACATTTCATCCCCATGACTTATTTATTTTATAACTGGGAGTTTGCATTTTTTTAAGTGATCATTTTTAAAATATTTTTTGAGAGTAAATTTTTTACATCATGCTTAACTTGCATACAATTAGATGGTTGCTATTTATAATGGTTCATTATTATAGATAATGCTAAGAATAGGGGTGGGTGCATAATCTTCTTTCTGTTATTTATTCAGGAAAAATTCCAAAAATATTAAGTCATATGGTATGATCATTTTTATGACTTGAACTCTGCCAGCAATGATTTCTAAAAGGCTTTTTACAATTCACTAACAATGTGTAACTCTGTTTTATTATATCTTTGGTAGCTTTAAATATTTTCTGTATTTTTCATGTTCATGACGATATAGATATGAAATTATGCCTCGTTATCATCATGGATTTTTTAGCCACATTTAGGCACTAATTACTGTAACTATTTTTAGTCTATCTGCATAGATGGAAGCTTTCCCTCAAGATTTTTGATTCAACTTTGTTTCATTACTATGTGGTAAATGTTGTGGTAAGTGCTGGAACCCACGTTCCCCATTCCTCTTTTTCTTCATCACCACCATGTAACGCTGGCTTTCCCAGACTGGCACGCCTGGTGCATGCATCCGTTACCTTTCTGTTTCACCTTGGCTTGCTGGTGAGCCTCCCCTTTCGTATTTTTAGCATGACAGACATAGTTGCGTTTGAGATCATCAGCAGTAACTTTCTCGATGCTTAGAATCTGAGTTCTTGTTTCATCTTCTATTTTAGTCTTAGTTACACTAGAAATAGGGGAAAGAAAACGAGAACATTAGTGAGGCTCAAGGACCATGTACTGTGCGTGACTCAGTCAAGCAACCAGAGAGACCCTAGGCTGGGGCAGATAGAATGGTGATAATCTGTGTTGCCCTGTAATCCAATGGTTACAAAAGGAGAGTAGCTTCTAGAGTCTAACACTATTCTTTACCATCTGTACTGTATAAAATCCCAATACCTGGATCAAATCCTGGTGTTGACATCATACTATAGATATTCTTCTCTCTAACTCTCTTCAAAGCAAAATGTCTCCTTTCCTCAAACTTCTGAGGCAGGATGCTGTATTGGTTTAGAGAGAAGCTTCTGAGGTCAGATCCATTTGAGTTTTGATCCAGGCTCTGCCACTTACTGGCTGTGTTCTTTCAGCATAGTAACTAATCTTTCCAAGTTTTGAAAGCCTCATCTGAAAAAGGGGAAAGTGGCAATGCCTAAACAATGCATTACATGTATAAATTTACTCAAGAATTCTGAGGATGGAGTACCTTGATGTGTATTAGAAAAATATTTAATAAATGTTCATATTATTCATATAGGCTATTAATATCCCTCCTTAACAGTTGATGCATTTTAGGGATTTCCAAACCTTGAATTTTGAATGCAAGTAGACCATTTCAATCAAAATACTAAATTTTCATGTAAAATCCAAACATATAAGAAGAAACTTCTCAAAGTACGTAAACTTTGTGAAAATAAATATATCTAAATCCTAGCAGTCAGAAATTAAATGCTCTGGGTCCAAGATCAAGATTTCCCTTTAAACTACTTTAGTCCAAAAAGAAAAAAAATATTATATATATTTTATATATATTATATATTATATATATATCTGTTTATCTATAAACATATATGTATGCATGTGTGTGCATATATGTATATCTGTTACAGCTGACTGATACCCGGTCCCCCTTCTGCAAATGCTTACTGTCTGTCATGAGAACTTGGTTAAGGGCTGTGCCAAGCGCAGCCTAAGTTTAACTGTACTGTTCAACTGGGAACAGTAAGCTGTGTTTCAACAGCAGTGAGGAGCAGTACCATGTCTTTCATGATTTTCCATCCATTCATTATAATGATAAGAAGCACAATTCTCAGGATTCCTAAAATGATCAGTAAGTCTCCCTCTGCGTCTCCAGCCAGGTCTTTCATCACTTCCTTCTGCAAAAACGGCTCCAGTCTCAGCACGCTTCTCCGTACTTCTGCTTCTCTCACCTCCAGCCCTTTGCACACGATGTTCCTTTTACCAGGAACATTCTTTTGATTTTCTTACCTAGTTTATTTCTACTCACTTTTTCAAATTTTTATTTAGGTACTCTGAGGTCTGAGAAGCATTACCTAATCCCTAAAACTGACTAGAATCCCCAACTCAGTCTTCCCGCAACATGTAATACTTCCCAGCCACTGCACGCGTCAGATTAGAGTATTGAAATTTCTGCTCTAACATGGGTTACTCCTATAAAATATATGCAGCAACTAAGTATCAGGCATAGTACCTGATACAAAGAAAACATTTTATAATATCTGCACAAAGTCTGAATTTACTACTAGGAAAGAAATATCTTTTGAATTCCAAAAGTGTTAGTAGCCTAAGGTCTATTTACACATTAGTGAGAAGGCTTAAGATCTTAGAACTACTTTGTCCTGCAGTTGGCCACTGCTACTTTTTACTCATTGTTGCAGCGAACCAATTCGAGTAGTTGTATGCTTCATTTATGGAGGAATTTTTATCTTTAAGACCTGTATTTTCCTCCTTGCCAACCTAACCCCTTAAACAAAGTCATGTGTATTTTGAAATAAATAGACCCAGCTTGTTATTTAAAGAATGAGGTATAGCTCTGACCACTGTGTCTCAGTTGGTTTGGTGATGTTCCACAAAGTGAGTGTCGCCAGTTAGATGCCTGGTCAGGGCACATGTCTGATCTGTGGGCCAGGTTCCCATTTGGAGGCGTAAGAGGGGCAGCCAATCAATGTTCCTCTCTCACGTCAATGTTTCTATTCCTCTCTTTCTCCCTCCATTCTCCTCTCTCTAAAAATAAATAAATAAAATCTTTAAAAAAATGGAGATATATATTACTACTCTATTCATTTAAAAAATAAATTTAGAGAACATGAATGTATTTAGTCAATATGAAAAAAATCATTATCAATTATAAATGTGACATATATGTTATGTGAATTAAGAAAGGAAGAAGAGAAAAATACATGTTTACTATAAAATAAGAAACTAACACAATTATCTGAGGCACAAATATTTATAGGCCCCAACTCCGGACTTGAGAAAAAGAACAGGGCCACTGTATGGTTATCTCTCCATAACCACATACTGTGGCCTTCTCATTCATGTCGGATATACATTCCATCTATTTATAAGCAGCTATCATAAATGTGTGATAATTAGATGTCATCTGCCTCAGACTGCAAAGTCAGTAATCAGCAATCCTTCTTTGGGATGTGGCCAATAGAAACTTGAAAACCTTGCTGATTTGTGTTAATGATAGGCAAAAATAAGAACTTTTATTCTGATTGATTCGTATACACCAGAGTGTCTTAGATTGAGGGACAGGGTCAGTCACCCCCTTGCCTGCATCAATAATACCTTTCACTAACAGTTAGGTCAATAGTGGTGTCCTCTGGCTTCTTTCCATCAATGGTCCACCAAACTTCATTGTTAGAGTCCTTCAGGAAAGTAAAAAAGACTTTACAGGGAATGAGAAGCTCCTCTCCTGAAAAAAAAAAAAAAAAAGAGTTAACCCATTAGTTTGTAAACTTAACATGACTATATTGGCTCTACTCTGTGACTAATCATAAGCTATTAATGTTAAATATACCTAAAAATCTTCTTACTAATTTTCTAGCAGGCTACCATAAGGTAATGCACCACACTTTACTGCAAACCAAACAAACCAGAAGGGAAAAACAGAATCTTTATATAAAATTACTAAAATGATCATCTTTTAAAACAATCTATGTGTGTTTTCAAATGACAGTATGTGTTTAAAAAGGTCCTGACAATGTCATTTTTAGCCCTAACCTCCATTGACTCTTCTTCTTTGTTATTTCCCTCAGGAAAAAAAAAGAAAGAAAGAAAGATGACTAAAAAATGGCTCCCCCGATTTGTGGCCTTTGGCCCCAACAAACAAGACAGTGCCATTGCCGAGAGGACCAGCTACACAGACCTCTTCTGCAGGTGCTCCAGACACCAGGGTGCAGTCAATAAGTTTAAAGACAATTTACAAAGAGAAATCTATGTTATCTTTCGAGATAGAATATGAGGTTGGGGGATTTCTAGGCAGAAAATAGTAGTTGTAGTAATAATAACAGCAAAAACAATGGCAGCACACTCCCAGAATTTTGTATAATTTACTGTACTAAGTATTTATACTTATGAACGTTCTAATTTAATTTTAACAAAATACTATGACACACTTTTAAAATTCATTTTTACACTAGTGAAAACGGAAGTGTAGAGATGTGAAATGCTATTCTTAGATCAAACTGTTAATGAGACCAGAATTTGACCTAGAATGACCTTCTTCTCTTCTGGTTGCCCAGGGCAGTTCTGTTTTAGGCTTGCTTTCCTAGATAGTTATTAATATCGACTGCTTTCAATCTCAAATGGTGTCCAGGTTGACATGATGAATTGTAATGTCATTCCAATTTGAACTCAGGTTGTCTCGCTTAGTGCTGACACTGTCCTCTCGTCCCATGCATGGTTCGCTTCCCCACCCTCTCCCGTTTTCTATACTAATGTATAGGAAGGTAAAGTGAGCAGGGCCGCAGGCAGGCTTTTGTAACTGGAATGTGGTAAGTAGAGGAGACATATCTGGATGATTAAGTTTAACCTGATAACTGGAATAATGTTTATATTACTATATACAGCCACTACTAATTCAAGAAAATTTGGCCTGTTTGGGGTTGACAGACCCTTTTAAGTGTGTTCTTTGTGTTTTTACAAGGGAGATCACTCTTTGAAATCGTATCTTAATTTTTATGTGTGGGGGGTGTTGTTCTCTACCTATGTTGATCACTGTCTCTATTACCTTTAGCACCTTTTAAACAGGTGTTCTTTCATAGCTCTCATTGGGTTTGCAGTAATTTTTTTTGGTAAAAGATACAATACAGAAAATGTTAAATTTTTCAGTTTTCAGCTTAATTGTTGGGGCTATGAGTCAGAGGAATAATAAAATTTACCTTATTTGATTAGTTGCAAGTGGTTCTTCTCTCTAATGAAAAATTATGCAAACTAAAAAAAGAGACCCAGCCACAGCAAACATTTTATAATGTTCTGAATCAGGGTATATTAGTTGTATCAGTTGCTACCTATTATATTCACCGTCCTGACTCCAAGCTCCAACCCTGCCCCTCTGTAGTGGAACAGAAGCTTGAAGGATGCCTTGTGCTCATGTTGCAGCCTTGGCAAACCAAAGCCCTGTGCCAGCTACAGTTTGCAACAAAAAGAAATCTCCAATCAGGAGAGGAGACCCACTAGCAAAGCAAGAAGGGAGCAGGAACTGCTGGGACAGAGCAGAGAACCCCTGAGGTCCTCAAGGGATCTAGGAGGTGGCTTAAACCCAGAGCAGCCTTGCTTTCTGACAGCATCAGGTTCAATGTGTTTGTTTGTTTTTGTTTTTAACAATAGCCCTCTATCCTTTTGTGAGAACTTCTGTGGCATTTTATTCCTTATGATTAAGGGAATCTAACTGAAATTCAGAGGCACAGCTACAATTACCTGGTTCTTTCTCGTAGACCACAAGATCATTGGGTGAATGGATCTGTGGGAGCGATGCATATTTTGGAGAGCCTATGAGAGCATAAAGAACAATGAATATGATATTAAATCATGCAGCCTTTATCTCTTTTAACCCATTTCAAAAACTTTCTCTTCTGTGAAGCTTTTCCCAACTTCCTGGCATACTTTGTCACTTCTTCTTGAAAAGGCTCAAAGTCCAATATTTGGTCAACTATAATATTTCAGTCATATAAAACAAGCAACGAAACAAACATAATATATTGATTATCCTCCATATTTCAGAATAGAATGTTTAACTAGTGTTTTTGCTCTCCAAAGCTTACAGGAGCTAGATTTCTTATACTGTATCATAATTAATTGCTCTCACGTCTTACATAATTATTTATTTTCTATATATTTCTCCCCAGCATTCCCAGAGTGTCTATAGTATAAGACCTAATTAAATAAATATTAAGTGAATGACTAAGTAGGTGGAAAAGTCAAAATCACAATTGTAAGAATAGCACATAAGTATGCCTGATGTTTAGTTATGAGTTGAAGGTTCATTCACAGAACTGATGCTCTTTATAACATTCTATATTCCAAAATTGTATGAAAAATATACTAAAGGTTCTTCATATTGCATTATTTAATGGTATAATCTTCAAATATTCAATGATCAGAGTGTTCTAATTCTGACTTGGCCATATACTAGCCATACAACTCTGATTTTTTTACTAAATCTTTAAAAATCTAATTTTCCTCAACTGTAAAATGAGAGTAATTAAACTCATCTTACAGGTTCATTATGAGGATTAAAATAAGTAATGCATATTGAAGCATCCACTGCATTTAAATATATATAGTAGGAACCAACGCCAAGATGAAGATAAGGTTAGATTGATTATTCATTTGACTTTTAAAGTCCATTCATATTTGGTTCTAAATTTAGTCTGATTTTTCTTCTGAATTAGTCCCCAACTCAACACTATTCAGAAAGTAAGCAGAGAAAGAGGAAAAGTGATTACGAAAGTGTTCTATTTGAATTTATTTGCACTATATTAAAGCTCTTTTTAAGGAAATTCATGTGCTGAGTCTGGTGTCAGAGTGGTAGAAAAAGTCTTGAACAAAAAGTCAGAAACCTGGTATTTGGAATCACTTCTACTAACACATTGAATGTCTCTGATTAAACAGGTTACTTTCTGTCTTGGGGCCTCAATGTTTCCATCTATTAAAAGATAGGATTTCAACTTTTTTTTTAACAAAAAAAGTATAAAAACCTTATACAAATGATTTACAGATATTTTTAAAAGATGCTAATAAGTTGCCTTTATTTAAAAAAAAGAGGGAGTTTGACAAAATCTCACTTTGATACACTATCATTTTAATGCCGTAGGCACAGTGGGTTTTAGGGTTCTCCTCTAAATACCACGATCATGACACATTGTCCCTTCCACTTCCCCTGTTTCTTTCCCCGTCTCCTCTCAGTGCAAACCAATGCTTGAACCCTGCCATGGCAAATACCTTCAGCATTAACTGCAACAGCAGTATATAGCCATACATAGTTTGCATCATTTGGGTGAAGCACTTTTTGGACAGTAATATTAACTACTATTCATTGAGTATCCACTGCTTGCCTGGAGATACATTGGCAATATGTATATTATTTCTAATATTCTCAGCTATTTTGAATATTATATAGTCTAAGTCACAGAGTACACAGATAAGGAGACTGAGACTTAGATCAAAATCATTTGCTCATTAATGGCAGCAGTATAATTTGAGCACAGATCTGTCTGTAACTCTTTTTTGCTCCTCAAGCTGCCTTTACATCGCTTATTCGCATACTCATTCAATAGACCGACAGTCACTGACTGCCCACTACGCACGTGGAGATGCTGGAGGCTCTGGGCATAGTGCAATAACCAAAAACTGTAAGCTTTTTTTCTTAAAGATTTTGCACACTTGTTTGTAATAAATTATTAAAAGACAAAACAAGATGATTGCATTTTTGTTGTGTGCACTTACTGCAAATCATGCTTACCTACCACCTTCACAGTCAGGGTCCTGGTGAGACGGAACTCACGCCCATTTTCTGGATATGTGACAACACACGTGTAATTCCCATTATTTGAAACCAAGGCTATGAAAAAACTCAAGCTTATGTTGTTAGGAACCACGTTATTAAAGTTTTCTACTTTTTGACAGTCCTAGAAAAAACAAAAGATGTTTTCTATTTAGATACATGCACAGAAAATACACAAGCACATGCACACATCAAATTCTGTACATAATATATGAAAATCTGCACTGGATGCACCTTTTACAAAACTATTTTGCTCAAGTATTTGACAATGTTTCTGCAAAATGTGAATGCTTTAAGTTTTGTTATCTTTTCTACAAAAGAAAATTAAAGTTCTGAACTGTGATATAATTTCAAGAGCACAAGCTTCCGGTCTCAGGATCCAGTATTTAAATTCACATTAACAGTGAAGGAAGGTTAAAGTATTGAAAAAAAAACTACGGCAACTTAAACAATTGTTTGCTCTACTATTTAAAAAATATATATATTTCATTTTTCTGCATTTCTTCACTGTTATTATTAATTGAAGGATCTAGTCATTATGCTTGACCCAATTTAGATGTCTGATTTTGGCATTCTTGATCTCTGTTGAATCACTATTATCAGTCACTTCAAAACTTTTTGGAATTTTTCTTTGACTTATTCTGTGTGTTACGATTGGCTATCACAGAGTCCAGAATCTAAAAATAAAACATTTTTTTGAGTCCTACCAAGAGTCGAATTTATTTCTGCTCCAACTCGCATTTTAATATTTTAAAAATTTTGTGATTAAAGTAGCTTATTCAATATAACTAGAATCCTGTTTGAATCTCTCAGCCCTACCAACTGGTTATACTGTTATTTTTTTTTCTTATTGTTTTAGAGAAAGGAAATGGTGCAATCATTAGTGACCAAACATATGTTGAATGATTACTTTTAGAAACATTTTATGTTTGTTTTCTTTTAAAAATCAAAAAATTAATCTATTATGAAAAGGATTAGGTATCTCTAACTTCCTTTAGGCCTTTAAAATTCTGTGAATCTATTACCGCCTTGTACTTTCAATTTCCTGTGTTTACATATTTAACTTTAATTCTTGTATACTTAAGCTTTTCTTACTTCAATTCTTGGAGAATGTATTTTGAAATATGACAGCTACACTAAGTGGCACATTTTGTAATTCTTTGTAACAGGAAGTATGTCTTTTAAGAACAGCACTAAACATTTCATTCATGGAGATGATTATCACAAAGAAGTTAATGCTCAGTTACTTTCTGAATACAATTTATCCTGTTTTGATAAAAGTGCTTCTAGACCCTTGTCACGCCAACCATAGATTTCAATACTCTTAGGAGATCACAAAGTGTAAGACCACAAACGCCTGTACTCATAATGGATTTATATCAGATTTGGCTTAAATCAAGTTTAGACTGTCTGTAGAAGTCTATTTGAGTTTTGTGGCACCTTCCATTTAAACAGTTCAAAGATATTTTCTTCTCTCATTTGTTAGTTTAGCTGTTCTTAAATCCCTGATAAGAGACAGATCACACTAAATATGCTCTAGTTTTACAAGTGGAAAGGAAAAGAGATGAACAAATAAAGAGATATTCCAGATAACACAGTGCACACCTAAAACTTAGTTTTCCAGATAGCTGAATAAAAGTCTTTAACTAGCTTCTTACCTAAGAATAAGCACCTCTGCTCAGAAGTTATTTAAGGCTGGAAAAAACTATTCTGAGACATGCACTTACACATGCCACATCATCTCATCTGATCCTTATTCCAAACTTAGCAAGTTGGGAATGCTCTTATGACCATTTTATAGATGAGGATACAAAAGCCTTTCTAGGTTAAATAATTGCTATTGTCAAAGAGCGAGGCAGTGCAAGAGCTGGAATTTGAAACTGAATCTAGCTGTTTTGAGACCCTTGTTTTTTTGTTTTCTTTTTTCCCTCAGTACATCCTGCTGTTCTTTATTTTTTAAATTTATTTTTTATTCAATTTTCCATTTATTTATTCCTCTATGCCCCCCTCCCCACCACAGTCACCACACTGTTGTCCATGAGTCCTTTTTCTTCTTTTCTCATTCCTCCAGCCCCTAACTGTGCCCCTCCTCCCAGAGCTGTCAGCCTGCTCTCTGAGTCTGACTCTATTTTGCTTGTTAGTTCAGTTTCTCCATGAGACTCCACATATGTGTAGAATCATATGGCATTTGCTCTCTCTGACTGGCTTATTTCATTTACTATAATGTTCTCCAGGTCCATCCATGCTGTCGCAAAGAATAAAATTTTCTTCTTTGCAGCGTTATTTACAATTACCAAGACATGGAAGCAGCCCAAGTGTCCATAAGAAGATGAGTGGATAAAATAACTATGGGATATCTACACAATGCAATGCTACTTGGCTGTAGAAAAGGCCCTTGCTTTTAATCCCACCTGACACTGTCTCCTTACCCAACACTGTAGTCTTGCACATATGTCAACCTGGGGCCACCTTCAGTGCTAATAGTGTAATGAGGTTCTACCACTTCTCTGTGCCTGGTTCCTGCAGTTAGTGGTGAACTGCAAAAGCTTACATTTCAGGATGAAAATTTAGGTAGTAGTAGTGAACTTGTTTAAAAGTACTTCCTAAGAATATACTAAAAGGACCTTTTCTTACTTGCCAACTAGCATTTATATAAAATTTAAAACACATCATTTTAGGATTTATAGTAGGTGCTACAAATAGAAAATTGTATTTCTGACTCAAACTCAAAATATTTTCATTCATTCATTCACCCTTGCGTATTAATCACTAAACCATGTTCCAGGAACTGTTTGAGGTCCTGAGAACACAGCATGGGATAAAACAATGTGTCAGCCCTTATGAACTTTTCATTAACAGAGGAATTAAATTAGACACATTAAACAGTAAAGGAAAGGGTATAAAAATAGGTATGTGTTGACCTCTTCTTAACTCCCCCTTTCTCTTAATCTTATTCCAAACCCATGAGGGAGAATTTGAAATTTGATCTGGATATGCTATCCACAGGGTATTCACAGGGTATACGTGTTAGTGGTGCAAATTTGCTTTCTCTTGGGATTTTCTCTTCTTTCCACAAGGTGGGATAAAAATGTAGGTCAGGGGCAGGTTTCTCAGAGAGCTACATTGTTTAGAAAACTATTTCAAATTGAGGAATATGTCACAGAAGCATTGGTAAATTTTGGGGTTTAATCCGCTATTAAGAAAATGCTAATCATTCAACATTGTGAACTTCACTAATTTTAACCGAAAGAAATAAAAGCATCCATTTCAAAGCTATTAGACCTATACAGCATACACGCAGAGGAAATAAAGGGAATATTTTACATTCTAAGCATGCTGGTGTGTGGTGGAGTGACTTCAGAGAATTGTTAATCCACTAACTGTAGTGTATGATGAGCTCCCTGTTTCTCATAGGCAGATACCTCTCTAGACACCTCGACACATATACCTGAGACAAAAAGAACATTTTAAACATAATAAGCTATACCTGAAAATAAAGCCTTCAGGTTTTCTTATAATTTCAAAATCAATATAAGGAATCCAGGAAAAAAAAAAAAGCATTCACGATATGATGGATGCTTCTGGACTTTTAATTATTGCTTGTGTCTTTCAATCTCTCTTGCTATCTGCCCTTATTCATGATTTTGAAAAGGCCAAGACTCATAGGTCTATGCAAAATATTTCCAATTATGTTATACTTATAAAGTAGGTTTTATGTTTGTTGAACAATAATATTAATTTTTTTTCAGATGTTAGTCCTCCAAAGCTATTTGCTTAAGGGGAGATTTTTACTTTTCAATATGTGCAACTATCTCTAGATTTCCAAAACATTTTTACAAAAAGGATATATGTTTAATTAGTAAATATAGATAAAAATCTATAGACCTAGATAACCAAGGAATAAAAACATGCATTTCCAAATATAAGAAATAGGTTAACAGTAAGTGGATTTCCACTATGAAGCAAACATTTGTCTGACTAGAAGACAAATCATCCATTTAGTTGATCCATTAGTTCCTCATTCTGAATTCAAAAGAGAGAAGTTAAATAAGAGAGCAACTTTTCAATCTCATAGTGGTAGCCATGGCAACCTACCATGACATATAGGTAAAGAACAGCAGACAAGAAGACTTTGAGATCCCTGAGAAGAAATACATCATGTGTTGAGTTGTGGGATATGGGTGGCGGGGACGTCTTGACTCACTGAGGACAAGTGTTGCCCCAATATTTCCATTGCCTACACTGTTCAAGAACTGTGTGAGGGTACACACACACACAAATGTAAAGGACACAATTCCTAGCCTATAGGTATGTATGGTCTCATGGAGAATTGCGACAAATACTATGAAAGATATCAGGGTCAGGGAGTAGGGGCAGATCAAACAGAAAACATTTAGAGAAACTTCATGGAGAAGAAAGACTTGAGATGGATCTTAAAGTATAAATAGAACATTAATAGCTATTAACCAGGGGGAGAGACATGGGAGAGCAGCAGTCCAAGCACAGATAAAAGTTGTGAATTACTTCCCTGAACTCTCATAGTACTCTGCCTTCTGTGTCAGTACTTAACTAACTTCGTATTATGTTTTTATTTAAAAAATTTTTTTCAGTTACCATTTACATTCAGTATCATTTGTATTAGTCTCAGGTGTACAGCAGCATGGTTAGACAGTCATGTACTTTACAAAGTGCTCCTCCCCGTATTTCCAGTACCCATTTGGCAGCATACATAGTTATTATAACATTATTGACTATATTTTCTATGCTGTACTTTATTTAACTAACTTTATTATAATGATGTCTTTTCATGTTTTTCTCTTCCTCTGGAAAATTTACTCCTATGGGGACAAGTGGGGGTGAATGAGTACTATACTTGCATGACCAGCAGTTTGCCAAATACTTGGCACATGGTAAATGATCAATGCATTTGTGTTTCATGATCCAAAATATGAAAATATGCTGAGAGCAGCAAAGACAGAAGACATGGATTTGAAAGCTCATGCAGTATCATAAAGATGGCTATATAAAATAAAAGATGTGATGCAGATGAGTTGTTGAATGGGTGGGGCAAGTGGGAGTAAGGATACAGGGTTTAACTGAGATAATAAGGTTAGAAGAGTTAGG